CCACATTTAAGCAACTGATAGCCCAGTTTCTTGTGACGGGAAGCTCCATTTGGTCTGTTATCGATGGCCGAGGCAGAGGATACGAGGTGCTCTTCAAGTTTTTCATGAGTAAATTCCGGCATCTTGCTCAAATTTCTCGTCCACATGACTGAAATTCTTGCTTCTAGAGTTCTTTTTTTGTTTGTTTTTAAATATATATATACATATATATATATTGGTATTTTCTGTGTTTTTTTTAAGTCATGTTAATGGTAACAAAGACGACTCGCCGGCTTTATTTACATGGCCGCCATCTTGGCAATGTTACCTTAACTACTAACATCGCTTATAGCTGGAATTGCCCATTGATCTTATCTTTTCTTGATAATGACGTTAAGTTGAACGTTTTGTTGAAGCGATCGAGTTGCTTCACCCTTGTCTAATTAAAAAATATATATAGTTGACAACAAAGATATTGTCAATACCAGCAAAGAAGACATCACTTTAAGGTTTAACGGGTACATATCCTTTAATATACCAGTCAAATAATTAAGTTCAGTTAGTTTGTAGGCTTTTTTGACATATTTTGCATATTCATTAAAAAAAGATAAAAGAAATCCAAACGATTCTGAATTCTTGGTTCAGTCCACCTTTAAAAAGACCATTTCAAATTGTAAATATGCTCGGTCCATTGATTACAGACTAATTTAGTCAGGTTTAGACTTGTGAGATTGTTACCCATATATGTCACTTCTCTTATCTTCCTGTTTTTATCTTGCCATGTTGGTTGACCGTAGCTTGCCCCAAACATTTCTTTTTTATCCTAAATGATTTTTCCTTTACTTTTTATTACCTTTAAATCTAAAAATATTTTGATTGTAAATTCAATTATCGTCACTAGCTTTGCTATCTACATAAACGAGCAAAGTTTTTGCTTATTAAAATTCAGTTCTCCTTTATACATTTTTTAAACTAACATGGACTACATCCCAGTCGTTATTGGACTTGGTTCTAGATAACCACGACTGTGAAGCGGAGACTACATGTTACACACATGTTACATAAGCTGCTAAATGCAAAAGTTCCCCCAAATATTTACGATAACAACTTGTACAAAAGCCATAAACTCATAAAGCTAAATACGCTGGCCCACAAACATCACGGTAAACAAAAAACTTACGGCAAAGTAAATCAAAATTACGGGTAGCAAAACAGTGAGGTTTTTCATAATTTCTGTATTTTTTCGCATCCAGAAGTTGCCCATTGTTCCTCACTTTATTTTGCTTAATCTTGAATGAAGAAGTTTTAAGCAAAATTAAATTAATGTATTTTGCTTAAAGCCTCTTCATTCAAATTTGGAAAGAAATTTACTCGGCTAATCAAGATGTATTTGAATTTGCTTAGTTGGCTTATAGGAGGAAGATGGATGTGTAACATTTCTTATTCAGGATGAATTTCTAACGGTCGGTTCCAAAATTCTAAAAACTTTGAACTGATAGGAAATTTGTCATCCCCATACGCAGTCGATAAGGGTTCTTATTCAAGATTCATAAAATAAACGTTGAATTATCACATCGACGATCATTTTAACGATTGGAATGTAAAATATATATATTAAGCGATTCAATGAAAGTAATGAGGATAGCTACAAGGGCTATTTTAGCCGTGATATAATTCTGGCAAAATCTTGTCGTTCAGACGGTGTTTCTTTTAACAGGTAGGATGAGAACCTCGTTAGTCCCACCCAACGACAAAAAACTGGCCAAGAATATTCAACTGGAAAATTAATACTAAACTTCAATTTTCGATAATGAAAAAAAAAGTTTAAAACATGTCTTTTTGATCTAAAATATTTTCCTATAACCAAACAAACTGATTAAAAACTGAGAATAAACTAAAAATAAATAACAAATAAGAAATGAACTGAGGTATGTTCTCTTGACTAAGGAATCTGGGCAAGTCTTAGGACAATCTCGTAGCCAGAGCCTGCGTTTCTTCTGGCCTGCGGCGAAGGACTTGGGCTCTGGCATCATCGGAAAAAATTGCCCATACATTTTGAATATTTGCTCTTTTCGGTCCCAGCCCCTCTCTTTCCTCTCTTTCCTCTCTTACAAAAGCAAAAGGTTGTGCTTAAAAGTAAAGTTATAAGCACAAGTAAAGCGTGACACAACATCTTAAATGACCCTGTAAATCTTCTGTTCTTTCGCTAACTACAATGTGTTTTCGAGGCTACGCGACGAGTCTTAAGAAACTATAAGAGGCTAATGTATAGCCAACGGATAGTATGATCTTATAGAATCAGCAAAAATACGGTTCTGAATTTTAATAAATTCCTATGAATTATATCTACCAAAATCTTCAGGAAAGCGCGGGGTTTTCAAATCCACTTCTGTTTTTTTGACAGACTCTGTTTTATTTCAAGGAGAGACGATTTTCTAGCTTGGCCCCGGTTATGTCACGCATTTTCTCTTGTAAAATACATCCAATAGCGTACATTCAACTCAAAAAGTACGGTGGTTTTTTTTTCAAAACCATATAATACATTCCGTGAATAGTTGAATAAACTGAATCCACTTCTGTTTTTTGCCTAGATAGTGTTTTTTGAGACCTTATTTGTATGGGTTCACATGAGGGGGCGTGAGCTCGAAATCGTAGCTGACCAAATGTTAACAGATTTTTTCCGATGATCCATTTTTTGAGATCAGGATTTCTTGGACTTCCGGTATAAGAGCGCATGTGTTCAAAGACTTGCCAAAAAATCCAAAAAAACATGTTCCCGATTTCGAATTATTTTTTTGTTTGGAAGTAGGCAAAAAAATAGGTTTAAAATTATGATTATATTGATTATATTTCACTTCCGGAAAATTCGCATGCGCCAAAAAATGGATTATGCCAGAGCCCTCGTTCTTTGCCGCAGGCCAGAAGAAACGCAGGCTCTGGGTACGAGATTGGTCTTAGGACAACTGATAGTTTTCTAATGTATTGAAAATAAAAAAAAGTGAAATAGAAGATGACAAACTTCCAGACATATAAACAATCGCATGAATGACACACAATATATTCTCATGAAGCACTTTCAATCAAGTGGAACACGTAACCTTATCGGTATTTCTAATGGTCTTGCAATAGTTACAATTTTCGTAAAAGAAAATAGAAATTAGCGTTAACTAAAATAAATAGAAATTTTGCCCCAAGGAAAAGAAAAGTCAAGGAATAGCATTCAATGAAAGCTAGAGTTTAAGAAGACAACAGCATGCGGTAACTCCCGTTAAACAAACAAAAAATGGCTTCGAACAAATTTAAAAAAACGGCATCGGGAAAAATGTCAAAAGTACTCAACAAATCTTTAAACATCAGGTAGATAAGTGTCTGATTTACCGGTACAAAAGATAACGTAACTAATAGAAAGCTCATTTAAACAACAACTGGATCTAACAGTCTACAGTTCTGGTAAACCTCTTGTTGAGAAGGGGAGTTAATATCGTAACAGACACGAAGCAAGCATCAGTGTAGTCGTGAAGTCGTGATGGGAACACTGGCGAATGGTGGCAGCGTTGGGAGACAAGAAAACAAGCGATGGTCTTTAATCCATGGTCCTCGTTTCTTGGTCGTCCTACTGGTGATATCCATTATCCACGTAGGAGCAAGTCAGAACAAGACGAGCACTCTTGATCGAGGTTTAAAAAAGATGCGTTCCCCAAGATATGCCAAGACAACATACAAAGCCAACACTCAATACAGCAGGGTTTGTAACACCACAGAATGTGCTAATGCTGCCAAACAAATTAATAGTTCGATGAACCTGACCATGGACCCATGTGAGAACTTCTATGAGTTTGCCTGTGGAAGATATCGAGTACAAAATCCATTGAACGGAAATGACAGCATTACTGGCCTTGTGAAAAACACGTGGTGGTTCCGATACTATTTAAAAGATAAACTGGTAAAAGGGCTAGCCAAACTCAACGGTGCGAGTGATGAAGTAATGAAAATACCTTCAGACATCTACAAATCGTGTATGAACTTGGCAGCCATTGACAAGGAGTGTGATGCACCATTAAAGAGACTCATTCGAGAATTCGGAGGATGGAGTATGGTGGAGGAAAATGGACAGTGGGACGAGAAAAACTGGGATTTTGCAAAGGCTATTCTAGCTATTCATCGTAACTATAAATCGAACGGGCCTTTGTTTTTAGTGAAACACTGGGAAGATGCGGCCGACAATAGGAGATATATTTTTGAAGTAAGTAAACGTGAAGAGAAAATTATTTTCTGTTGCGAGAGCAAGCTTATATTTATTGTTCCATAATTCATTATAAACTCTGCTAATAGTTATTTTTTTACCACACATAAATAACACCTTACATTTTTAATCTGTAGATTGATCAGGCACGAACCAAGGGATCATACTCACCATCAAAAGTATGTTATGTAATATTTCAAAAACGAGTGCGAGTGTTTTATTAGGGTTTCCAAACACGAGAAAACATTTGAAAGCACGAGGCCGTAGGCTGAGTGCTTTTATTGATTTTGAGTATTTGGAAACCCTAATGAAATATGAAGCACGAGTTTTTGGCTGATTACTTCTCTAATGAGCTAATAATTTATCATGCAGGAAAAGGAGTTTTCTTGTTTTTATTGTGTGATTTAATATACGTAGAGCAGTTGTAGGGGAAAAACATTAAATATAGATCCAACCCTCCTTGTCAGCAAATTCCTCGTTGGCATAGTTAGTAACGCACTAGACTATCACGGCAAGGGTCCCAGATTCGAGACATGGTAAGTCCAAGATAAAAAGAAAAGAAAAAGGTAATTACGTAAGTAGAGAGTAGATACAAGTATAAAAAGTAAGTAATGGAGGGGAGACAGGTAGAGAAATGAAGCAAATGGGTGGAAAGAGGAAATTATTCTAGCTATTTTGAGACACCCACGACAAATATGTAGATTAAGATATATATATATATATGTTACTTGATTTCTTAGCTTTATGGCACAT